CCCAGGTTTAGGTTCCCTGAGCTCAGAGCTCCTCCTGGAGCAGCAGGAGATGAGGGAATAAAGGTCTGAGAGTGGAGCCCAGCCTGGTGGATCCATCTGATTTAGATCAGATGCTGGGATCTAATCAAGCACCAGCAGCTGAGGCAGCCCCTGGCTCTGCATTGCCCCTGCCTGATCAACAATTCCACTCTGCAGATCCCCACGATGGCTCAATCCCGGCTTATTCTGACCCTGCTTCAGAAAGAAATGATCATTTTTAAGCTCAGGACTGGGTCTAGGTGAACCATGAGTGTAAATTGGGCCAGGCTCTTGTTTGAGTGCCCATCTCCTCCTCCTGGAGCAGCAGGAGATGAGGGAATAAAGGTCTGAGAGTGGAGCCCAGCCTGGCTGGATCCATCTGATTTAGATCAGGTGCTGGGATCTAATCAAGCACCAGCAGCTGAGGCAGCCCCTGGCTCTGCATTGCCCCTGCCATAAACAATTCCACCCTGCAGATCCCCACGATGGCTCAATCCCGGCTTATTCTGACCCTGCTTCAGAAAAAAAAATCATCTTTTTAAAGCTTTTTAAGCCCAGGACTGGGTCTAGTTAAGCCATCAGTGTAAATTAGGCCGGGCTCTTGTTTGGGTGCCCAGGTTTAGGTTCCCTGAGCTCCTCCTGGAGCAGCAGGAGCTGAGGAAATAAAATCTGAGAGTGCAAATTCCCCTCTGGAGAGGGAGGACAGAGCTGCAGCTCCATCCCATGGATGAACAGAATTGAATTCCAAGGGATTTTTGCCACAAAATTCCTTTATCACCCCAGAGTGGGGGTCAGCAGTTTGGTGAAATCCGGGGTGGGGATGCTCTGCTCCCAGGAAAAAGGGACAGGACAGCTGGAAACAGCCCCAGAGGTTGGAAATCAGCAGGAATTTCCTCATGGAAAGGGCTGAATAATTCCAATTTTCCCACCTAAGTAATTCTAATTTTCACACGTAAATAATTTTGATTTTCCCACCTAAATTATTCTAATTTTCCCACCTAAATAATTCTGATTTTACCACTTAAATAATTCTGACTTTCCCACCTAAATAATTCTGATTTTACCACTTAAATAATTAATTTTCATTTTCCCACCTAAATAATTCTAATTTTCACACCTAAATAATTTTGATTTTCCCACCTAAATTATTCTAATTTTCCCACCTAAATAATTCTGATTTTACCACTTAAATAATTCTGACTTTCCCACCTAAATAATTCTGATTTTACCACTTAAATAATTAATTTTCATTTTCCCACCTAAATAATTCTAATTTTCACACCTAAATAATTTTGATTTTCCCACCTAAATAATTCTAATTTTCCCACCCGTATAATTCTGATTTTCCACCTAAATAATTCTGATTTTCCCACTTAATAATTCTGATTTTCCCACCTAAATAATTCTGATTTTCTCACCTGAATAATTCTGGGAAACCCTATTTGGTTTCCCACCTAAATAATTCTAATTTTCACACCTAAATAATTCTAATTTTCCCACCTAATAATTCCTGACCCACAGCAAACCCTGCGTAAGAAATTTCAGCCTTCTCTACTGGCATGAACAAATAAATATTAATTTATGATTTTGAGGGAATTTTTTGAGCTTTCTGTGGCCTCCCTCCCCACGTCGTGGTGCTGCTGCCGATGTCCCTGGCGCTGTCCCTCCCTCTTGGCCTGTGCCACCCTCTCAGGGACACCCAGGAGAGCCCAGGCTGTAATTCTGTAATTCTGTAATTCTGTAATTCTGTAATTCTGTAATTTCTGCTTCCAAACTGCCTCAACCAACATCACCCAGTGACTCAGAGCCCGGAATAGAAGAGTGGAAATTGAAATTCACTCTGACCACCGAGCTCTGTGTGGGCACAACGTTTGGGAGACTCATTTGCTCCAGTGCTAAGGAGAAAAAATAGAAAAAAAAATTTAAAAAAAAACCCCAAAAAACAAAAACCCCCCGAGCACTAATAGCTATTTAATTGCTTGTGAATTCCTCTGACTAAAAACCAGGGGCAGCTCTCCCCACCCAAATTTGGATTCTGGCCCTTTCCCAGCTGAAGTCACAGCCCAGCTCTCCGGCGTTTTTTTGTTGGGTTTGGGGTTTTTTTGTTATCCAGTTCCTATCAGCATCTGGGCTGCCAAAAATGCCTTTTTTCCCCTCAGGAAACAGCAGTGTGGTTTCTCCTCATCAGCCACCCCAGTGAGAGAGTTCTCATCAGCTCAAGTGACAACAAATGCAGGTGCTCCTCTGCTTTTCCCTGTCCTTCCAGCAAACCTGGGGAGGGAACAGCTGTTTGCAGTGAAAAAAAAACCCCAAAAAACAAAAATAAAACCACCGTCCTGCTGACCCAAGCTGAAAAGTGACGTGGAAATGGGATTTTTGACCTTGAGAGCTGCAAAGTTGCTCCAAAGGAGGGACCCTGTGAAGATTAAAAATAACAAATCTTTGCAATGCTGAGCGGAGCTGAGTGAATTCATCCCAAAGCAAAGGGCCAAGGCTTTAAATAGCGCCGGGGTTTTGATGACTTTTTCAAGTCCTCGGCTGAAGAACTCGCCCCAGCATTTGCAAACATTCATTTGAGGAGCAGCTGGTTTCCTCAACTGCATTCTTGTCTCATTTTTCCTCTCGTTTTCCTCACAAAATAAGATTTTTGTTGCTGCAGATGTTCAGGGGAGGCTGCTCTGTTCTCATCTCTCACAAGGCTGTGTGGATGAATAGAACGTTGATTTTTCCTCATTTTAGGGTTCTGTTTAGCCCCTGTTTTTGGAGTTAGGTGCTGATACAATGCTTAGCTCTCTCTCTGTATAAATGTATATATTTCGTGTCCCTCTCCCTCGCACGCCATGTGGGTTTAGGCACTCATCCACCATGAATAATGTCCAGGGCCAGGTCACAAACTTCCCATAGCAGGGGCCCTGTTTGCATCCTCTCCAGGCCATTGCAGGGAACTCAGAAAACCCAAACAAACCCAGAAACTGCTCCTGCTGCGGAGGATGGGAAGGGGGAAAAGAGAAAAAGGGGATTTTTTAAAGAAAGGTGGGGTATTTGGAGTGGGTGGTGCTGTGGGATGGGGCTGGTGGCAGCGGGGAGGGCTCGGGAAGGGGGCTGAGGGAAAATGGGGGTGAGGGAAAATGGGGGTGAGGGAAAATGGGGGTGAGGGAACGGGGCTGAGGGAACGGGGCTGAGGGAAAATGGGGCTGAGGGGATGGGGCTGAGGGAATGGGGCTGAGGGAACGGGTATGAAGGAAAATGGGGCTGAGGGGACGGGGCTGAGGGAATGGGGCTGAGGGAAAATGGGGCTGAGGGAAAATGGGGGTGAGGGAAAGGGGCTGAGGGGACGGGGCTGAGGGAAAGGGGCTGAGGGAAAATGGGGGTGAGGGAACGGGGCTGAGGGAACGGGGCTGAGGGAAAATGGGGCTGAGGGAACGGGGCTGAGGGAAAATGGGGCTGAGGGGATGGGGCTGAGGGAATGGGGCTGAGGGAAAATGGGGCTGAGGGAAAATGGGGGTGAGGGAAAGGGGCTGAGGGAACGGGGCTGAGGGGACGGGGCTGAGGGGACGGGGCTGAGGGAATGGGGCTGAGGGAAAATGGGGCTGAGGGAATGGGGGCTCGGGAAAATGAGGCTGAGGGAAAATGGGGCTGAGGGGATGGGGCTGAGGGAATGGGGCTGAGGGAATGGGGCTGAGGGAAAGGGGCTGAGGGAACGGGGCTGAGGGAAAATGGGGCTGAGGGAACGGGTATGAAGGAAAATGGGGCTGAGGGAACGGGGCTGAGGGAAAGGGGCTGAGGGAACGGGGCTGAGGGGATGGGGCTGAGGGAATGGGGCTGAGGGGATGGGGCTGAGGGAATGGGGGCTCGGGAAAATGAGGCTGAGGGAAAATGGGGCTGAGGGAAAATGGGGCTGAGGGAACGGGTATGAAGGAAAATGGGGCTGAGGCAAAATGGGGCTGAGGGAACGGGGGTGAGGGAATGGGGCTGAGGGAAAATGGGGCTGAGGGAACGGGGCTGTTATCCCAGAGGGATCTGCGGGAATTTGGGGCTGCAGGGAGGGATCTGTGGGGGATGAGGATGGGGAATGGGGCTGAGGGAACGGGGGTGAGGGAATGGGGCTGAGGGAAAGGGGCTGAGGGAAAGGGGCTGAGGGAATGGGGCTGCTCTACCAGAGGGGGCTGTGAGAGTTTGGGGCTGAGGGGATGGATCTACAGGGATGGGGATGCGGGAACGGGACTGCTCTGCCGGAAGGGTTTGGCCTCAGGGATGCGGGATCGGGACTGCAGGAACGGGGCTGTTACCTCAGCCAAGGGTGTGGGGGACGGGACTGCGCGGATTGGGGTCTTGTCCTTGTGGGGGTTCGGGAACGGGCTCTTGTCCCCGCGAAAGCTGCAGGATCAGGACTGCGGGATCGGGTCTATTCTCTCAGCGAGGGCTGCGAGATCGGGACTGTGGTGATTGGGCTCTTGTCCTTATGGGGCTGCGGGAACGGGGCTGTATCCCAGCGAAGGGTCCGGGACCGGGGCCGTTGTCCCGGAGGGGCTGAGGGGAAGGGGCCTGCGGGGATTGGGCTTTTGTCCCTGCGAGGATGCGGGATAGGGACTGAGGGAATTAGGCTGCGGGATAGGGACTGCGGGAATTAGGCTGTTCTCCCAGCGGGGCTGTAGGATCGGGGCTGCGGGCACCGGGGCTGTGGGAATGGGGCCGTTGTCCCCCTCGGGAATGCGGGTTCGGGGCTGCGGGATCGAGGCTGCTTTCCCCCCGGTGCTGCGGAAATGGGGCTATGGGAATGGGGCCGTTGTCCCACTGGGGCCGTTCTCCCGCGGGGCTGCGGGGACGGGGCTGTTGTCCCACCGGAGCTGTTGACACCGGTGCCGCGCGCTGCCCGTCCGGCGGAGCTCGGCGGCGGCCCCGGGGCGGCGGTCGCGGCTGCGGGGGGGGCTCCGCCCGCGGCAGCGCATGCTCCGTGCCCGCCCAACCTGCGCTTTAAACGGCGGCCGAGGCGCGGGCAGCGCGCTGAGCCCCGGCTGCGCCCAGGTACGGCCGGGCACGGGGCTGGGCTGGGCACTGGAGGTGGGCACGGCGCGGGGCTGTGCTGGGCACGGGGCCGTGCTGGGCACGGGGCCGAACTGAGCCGGGCCGGGCCGGGGGGATGCGCGGGCGGGGATGCGGCTGTGGCTGCCCCGCGATGCCGGTACCGGGATGCGGCTCCCGCTGCCTCCCCCGGGGGTTCCGCGCACGTCCCGAGGCTCTCGGCGCTCCCTCCGCTCCCGCAGCACCGAGCGCTGCCCGCCGGCTCCGGCCGGGACGGCGGCGCTGCCCGCGGGAGGAAGAGGAGGAGGAGGAGGAGGAGGCGCTCCGGGGCTGATGCTGCTGCGCTGGAGCTGCTGCGGGAAAACAACAAAAAAGCGGAGCAGGAGGGACTGGGGAGCGTGTCCTGCCCTCCCCGAGCTCCTCCCGAACTCCTCATTCCTGCAGGGACACCGCAAGGTTTGAAGGATCCTGAGCGGGCAGAGCTCGGGCAGCGGGACGGACTCACGGGAATCCTGAAGAGTTGCGGGGACAGGTCAGTGAATCCTTGGAATCCGAGAAAAGGGAGTTTTTATTACCCCCTGTAATGCAAAACTCATTTTCATCATCCCCCCGTAATGAAAAATTCATTTTCATTGTCCCCTGTGATGAAATATTTTTATAACCCCCCCCCGTAATAAAAAACTCATTTACATTACCCCCCCCGTAATGAAAACTCATTTTCATCACCCCCTCCGTAATGAAAAACTCAATTTCATTACCCCCCCCGTAATGGAAATTCATTTTCATTGCCCCCCCTATAATGAAAAACTCATTTTCACTGCCCCCCTTGTAATGAAAACTCATTTTCATTCCCCCCGGTTCTGTCTGGGTTTGGTGCCTCCCCTCCAGCTCTGCTGTCCCTAAATGCCACATCGGGGATAATTCCAGGGATTCCTGGCTTTGGCAGGGCTCGAGGATTTGGTGGTAAAACGCTGGAGTTGTTTATGATAAACATAAACTCCTCGTCTCATTTGTCTTCCCACGGGTGACAGCTTTAGGAGGAAGGGAGAAACACTAAAATCAATTTATTAATTTCATGCTGGTGCTGGCCAGACCTGGCAAGATGCTCCATTTCCATTTTTATGTTCCAAATAAATATAAAACTGGGAGGGAAAGAGATTTCCTGGTGCTCACCTGGACCTGTTAAACCCATGAGCAGCACAGAGAAAGTGGCCAGGCTCAAAAATCCCATTTTTGCCCTGTTCTGGTTCTGGGTGTGATTCAGGAGAGCAGCCTCTGTGTGTGTAACATGAGAATATCTCCAAATTTATAGAAATAGAACATGAGTAAGAACTTCAAAAGTACCCAAATGACCTGGGCACTGAAGTCATGCAGACACTCCTGAAAAACATGTACCAGCCTTGAAACCTTTCCTATTATTCGCCCCACCTGCAATTTTCTTTCTTTCTTTTTGTTTTGTTTGTTTTTTTTTTTTTTTTTTTTTTTTTTTTTTTTTTATTTTGTTCTTTGTTTTTAAATATTTGATGCTGTCTGAACCTTTCTGGCATCATCCAGAGCTGCTTCCCCTGGTGGGGAGTGGCACTGGAGCCAGATTTGCCAACCCTGGCATTCCAGGCTGTGCCTAAAAACCTGGATTTTGGTGCCACAGAAATGTAAAAATTTGGATTTTATTGCCACAGAAAACAAAGTAAAACTCTGGATTTTGTTGCTACAGAAAAGTAAAAATTTGGATTTTATTGCCACAGAAAACTAACCAAAACTCTATTTTGTTGCCACAGAAAACCAAAACTCTGGATTTTGGTGCCACAGAAAAGTAAAAATCTGAATTTTGTTGCCACAGAAAAGTAAAAATCTGGATTTTGTTGCCACAGAGCACTTGGCTGATAGGATTTGGGAGCGGGGAAAAAAATCAATTAGAAATTTGGTATGGATAACAAGAATCTCCAGAATTAACAGCAAATTAAATGAGAGTTTGCAGGGGGTATAAATCCCCGGATTTTGGGATTTAGGGAGGGAATTCTCCATGCTGTGGGATTATTCCCCTACAAATTGTGGTGATTTCTGTGGTTGCTGTGTCCTCTTCTCCAGGTCCCAGTGAGCACCAGGAAGGTGCAGAACCAGCACCACCCCCTGTGAGCACTCGTGGATGCTGCACACAAACCCCACCAGCACCAAAAACGACCAAAATCCCATTTTTATATCAGATTTTTGGTTATGTCTGTGCAGGGAGAGGCTGGAACCACCGGGCTGATCCCCGAGTTTAAAAATCACAGCCCTGGCTCCGCTTTGCCTTTGCCAGAGTCCCTCGGAAATGATGTTTAGCATAAACTCTTGGTAACCTTTTCCCCAAACTGTTTATCTCGCTGGAGCGCTCAAGTGGCCGCGCTGGGGAGGGGAGGAGGGGAGATTTTGGCTTTTCCTCCCTGAGTTTCATCTCTTTTCTCTTCAGCCAAAGCCTCAGAACGGAGCTCAGGGTGATGGTTGGGCCCTTGTGCCTCTCTTGGTGGCATTGGGAGTTCAAACTCCAGAAAATAATTTAAAAATCACCTTAATTGTGAATTTTTTAATCACAATTAATTTGATTAATTTAATTGCGATTAAGTTAATTTAATCACAATTTTTTAAGCACAATTAGTGTGCTCAGGGCCTGTTTTCCTCCTGTGATTTACTCCCTTCAGATTTTTGCAGTGTTTTTGACACAGAGCCTTCCAGAGTGTGGGAATCCTTAAGATCAGAGCCCTGGGTTTGTGTTTGTCCCCCAGCAGGGGCTGATTTAGCTGCTTTTAATGAGTTTCTGTCTCCTCATCGTCATCAAAGCCGAGCTTGGCTTGGTTGGGTGGAATTTGGGGAGGTTTTGGGTGGGTTTGGGGCTCTGAGGGAGCCAGGAGGGAAAGGAGCAGAGGGATGGGAGGTGGTGAGTGGGGTCAGCAGAATTGCAGGTGTGAGACCTTGTCAGGAGCAGGGAGGGACGGGCACAGAACCCAAAATGGGCTGGGTTGGCTCTGTTTGGAAAGAATTGCATCAGGTGATGGTGCCCTGTGGCTCCTGGGGTGGGCAGCCGGCCTAGGGCAGCTCCTGGTGGCTAAAAACCCATCCCAAACTGCTAAAACTCATCCCAAATAGCTCAAACCCATCCCAAGTAGCTAAAAACCCACCCCAAACTGCTAAATCCCATCCCAAAGACCTAGAAATCCCATCCCAGACTGCTAAAAACCCAGCCCAAGCAGCTAAAAACCCATCCCAAAGAGCTAAAAACCCATCCCAAAGAGCTAAAAACCCATCCCAAAGAGCTAAAACCCATCCCAAACTGCTAAATCCTATCCCAGACTGCTAAAAACCCATCCCAAAGAGCTAAAAAGCCACCCCAAAGAGCTAGAACTCATCCTAAACTGCTAGAAACCCATCCCAAAGAGCTAAAAACTCAGCCCAAGCTGCTAAAACCCATCCCAAACTCCTAAAAACCCAATCCCAAGCAGCTAAAGCCCATCCCAAACTGCTAAAACCCAGCCTAAACAGTTAAAAACCCATTCCCTAGCAGTAAAAACTCGTCCCAGACTGCTAAAACTCATTCCAAATGGCTAAAAACTCTTCCCAAGCAGCTAAAACCCCATCCCAAACTGCTAAAACCCCATCCCAAGTAGCTAAAACCCATCTCAAAGAGCTAAAACTCACCCCAAAGAGCTAAAAACTGACGCCAAACTCCTAAAAACCCAATCCCAAGCAGCTAAAAACCCATCCTAAACTGCTAAAACTTATCCCAAACTGCTAAAACCCATCCCAAACTCCTAAAAACCCAATCCCAAGCAGCTAAAACTCATCCCAAATTGCTAAAAACCCATCCCAAGTAGCTAAAACCTGTCTCAAAGAGCTAAAACTCACCCCAAAGAGCTAAAAACTGACGCCAAACTCCTAAAAACCCAATCCCAAGCAGCTAAAAACCCATCCTAAACTGCTAAAACTTATCCCAAACTGCTAAAACCCATCCCAAACTCCTAAAAACCCAATCCCAAGCAGCTAAAACTCATCCCAAATTGCTAAAAACCCATCCCAAGTAGCTAAAACCTGTCTCAAAGAGCTAAAACTCACCCCAAAGAGCTAAAAACTGACCCCAAACTCCTAAAAACCCAATCCCAAGCAGCTAAAAACCCAGCCCAAGCAGCTAAAACCCATCCCTAAGGGCTAGAACTCATCCCAAACTGCTAAAACCCATCCCAAGCAACTAAAAACTCATCCCCAAACTGCTGAAAACTCATCCCAAACTACTAAAACCCCGCCCAAACAGCTAAAAATTCACTCCAAACTGCTAAAAACTGACCCCAAATTGCTAAAAACTGACCCCAAACTGCTAAAACCCATCCCAAGCAGCCACCCTGGCGAGTCTTGTGACCCCTCAGCCCCGCGGAACCCATGGTTCGAGCTGAGTGTGCGGCCAGGGAGTCATGAGGAGCTCGTGAGCCGCTCTCAGCTCCTCCCAGTGCCGATTTCTGGGTTTCTGGTTGTCCCATGTCACACATCCAGGCTGTCCCTGTGAGGGCAGGGACCCCCAGCTCGGCTGAGGAAGAGGATGGGGACTCTCAGGGGGGAATCTTGGGTTTTGGGAAGCGGGGGGAAGATTTAAAACCATCCCTGCAAGGTATTCAAGTGTGGATCTGCCCAATCTTGCACTCACCACAAAGAAAAGAACAGGAAAACAGGAAAAATAATAAAAATACAGGATTATTTAGCAGCTCTGTGCCCCAGAGTTTGGTTATCTCAGCCTGATGGTGTGAGACCTGTCCTGTTCCTTGTCCCGCTGTTGTTTGGGGCTGATCCTGCCTCATGGAGCTGCAGAAATCGCTGATGTTCCCAACCCTGTGAGCTGTGGGGTTGCTTGTTGAGAAAACAGAGCTGAGAGTGGGGACTCTGAGGCCACCATTCCATTCCTGCTTGGCTGCCCGGTGTGTTCCTTGGTGTTCCCCCCCCTAATTTGTGCCTTTCCTGCTTGTTTTCATATCCTAAAATGTCAGATCTTCCGGCCCTCCCCAAATATTTGCTTAACATTTTGCCAGGCTGCAGAAGAGGAGAAGCAGACCCCCGTGAATATTGTCTGGCAAAATAAGGAGGAATGCGGTGCCAAAGGCTCCTTTGTCTGGGGGTGGAGCACACGCAGTGAGGAGCAGGTGCCTCATTTGCTGCTCTCGACCATTTTTTTCCTCCCCTCTGTTGCTGCACAAGAGCTAAAAGAAAATTCTCTCGGTCCCCATCCCAAGGGCTGGCTCTGTCCTTCACCCAGAAACCTCGTGGCTTGTGGGTCTGGGGGTTTCAGAGCCAGATTTTGGTGGCTTCCAGATTAATTTTGGGGATTTTAGAACCAGATTTTGGTACATTGCAGGTGAATATTGGGGATTTCAGAACGAGATTTTGGTGGCTTCCAGATTAATTTTGGGGATTTTAGAACCAGATTTTGGTACATTGCAGGTGAATATTGGGGATTTCAGAACGAGATTTTGGTGGCTTCCAGATTAATTTTGGGGATTTTAGAACCAGATTTTG